GTACCTGATTGTTTGACATTTATGAATCGAACAAAAGAACAAAGTTTTTTTAATTTTTGTGCTATTCCGCATGTTATGGCAATAGCTAGATTATCAATTTGGTTTAGGAATCCTGAATTCTTTAAAAAAGATGCTAAACTTCGAAAAGGCGAGTCTGTCAAGGTAAGGTGATTAATATTTTTAATTATATTTATTTATATCAATTTCAAAATATATTATGTTTTATAATCTTATTTTTTCTATTTATCTATTAATTATTATTATTTTTTTTTTTTTTTAATTTAGTTAATGTTGAGATGTAAAAATATTTATGAAGTTGCAGGTCTCGTTCGCTATTATAGTCGTGTTATTGTTAGTAAAAATGATTCACGAGACCCAAATTATTTGAAAATCAGTATGGCATGTGGTCAGGTAAAATCATTTTAATCATGTGAATTGCGGGTAAATTTGCCCGCATTTATTAGTAACTTGTGACATCACTACCGTTTAAGGGATAATAACAAATAACTAAAAATTATTATAATTATTATAATTATTATATTGACAATTTTTTTTTTTAATAAATAAAAAATTACAGATTGAAAAATGGTGTACAAATAATCTTCCAGATCTTGATAATTATCAATCATCGACATCCAAACTTCCTAGCAACACAAAAACATCATTTACAGATTTAGCAAGTCAAAAGAATAATATGTTGTTATTTGTTGGATTTATTCTTTTAGCATTTACAACATATTTATTGTATTTTTGCAATTGGGAATATTTGCATGATAATGTATTAGATATATTAAATCGTTTTAATATTTTAAATACCGAATAATGGTGAATTTTATTTTTTCTCGTCCAAAAAGAAACTACTTTTCGGTATTAATTAGGGTTTCCTCTGTGTCGCCTCTATTTTTTACTATACCTAGCTTGTGTTATTATATTACATCGTATTTTGTGCATTTATTTATTCTGTAATTGTTTATTTATTTATTTTGTTTTATTTTGTTATTGTCTTCTCTCCCTTAATGAAACTTTGTTGTATATGACATATCCGTTCATCATATTTACATCACTAACATTATATTAAATTCCATTAGATCAATGACTATTATTATTATCATTATTAAAATTATTATTATTATGATTATACTGATGATTATTGTTGTTATTGTTATTGTTGTTGTAGTTATTATTGTTGTTGTCATTATTTTTATTATTTCTAACCATCATTATCTTATCCCCAATCGTCGTAAATTTCTTAAAACATAATAATTCAAAATAGAAAATACTGAAGTCATAAGGGTTCCCACACGAAAAGCAAAAGCAAACCAATATCCGGCATTCAATTTATGAAAATGAAAATATGAACCAGCAGACATTAAATAATACTACAACATTCGAAAGTATACGTTGAACGACGAATTCGTTTAAATAATTTAATTGAATAAAACTCCAATAATTGTTGCGGGCAGTAAAATAAAAATATTAATCCCAAATCACTTAATAATCCAAATTTTCCAATCATTGATACATTAAAAACTGCTTCCAATTTGTTCCTCAGCCACTAATAAACTTATAAACTTTTCACAAGATGTGAAAAATGTGAACTAACAAGAGGAATAAAATACAATGACTAAATAAAAAAAGGTTAACGAAAGTTATATTACAATATAATGGTGATTGTGCTAAGTCAAGTTGTGCTTGACGTTTTTCGATTTCAAGTTTTTTAAGTTTTGTTAAAATTCATCTTCTATTTGCTCAAATAATTTGTCCAGTAATTCTTGATGAAGAATTGTTGTTGTATGGTGGTGATAAATCTATTCATTACAACTTATCGGATGATGGTGAACAAGTGAGATTATAAAGGATGATAGATGTGAACGAGACATTTTATCCATATTTAATTTCCAACCACTTCAAGATTTTCTAATTTATGTTGTAAAACGTTTATCTTTATTTTATTTTGAATTAAATGATTCTTTAAGGATTTCCGATAATTAGGACGTAAAGGAAGTCGACTAATCCAAAAAATATTTCAATATAGCCCTTTTAAACATACCCAGTTTCCCCTATGCATGTTAATAAATTAAAAATCTTCAATCCATCAATGTTAGATATTTTTTGAAGCATAAACGAAAGCGCACATTAATAATCCCACCAATGACATGATGGTTAAAGTATCTCTCGCTTTTGCAAAAAAAAAAAAGTTCTTTGTTGATCGGTCTCCTGTTGAATCAGAAGTTTCCCTATACTTTCTACGAAATCGTTGTAAAAGGGAATAGAATATTGCATATTTGGTAAGAAATAAAAGGAATACTATAATATTTTACCTTTTCTTCAATACGCGTAAAATAACAAATTCTTTGTCAGAAAAAATTGGAAAAATTGAAAATGGTTACAATAATTAAAGTATTGTCACGTCTGGACAGCACACAACAGGATTACACAACAAATCAAGTTCCCAGTCACAATAATAGCTTACACTTCTTCGTGTATCGCTATACAGTATGACAACTTAAATAACAACTACAAAATCGTGAGTATTATCTGGGAGGTACGTGAGCAAGTGAAGTAGAGGTAGTTTTTCCCTATGTATACTATCGATGCTAGAACAGATTTATAAGAGCTGAAACGTTTATTTATAATTAGACAACCAAAAGAAAGTTTTATTAGAAGTTAGGCAACAAAATATTACAATTTCGTGTTTCTATTCTGTTACTACTTCTACTATTTACACGAATATTATTATAAACGTTGTTATAATTATTTAATCAAATAGGATAAAATAAAATAAATAAAATAAAGAGATAAAATATCAAATGTTGCTATCTTAAAATATGCCGCCCAAAAGGAACCCCTCTTTCTCACTCCTGCTACCGCTACTTTTATATTTCTCTCTCATCATTTCTCTCTCCTCCATCATTCCCATCATTCGTGCTTTCCATTATTGTACAACTCCATCATTTCCATCATTTGTGTTCTCACACCACATGTTTTCTGCACTGCCATCTTCGTACCATCATATTTAGTGTCACTCAAAGAATGTTATAAATCGATGTAATTCTACTAATTTATCTATTAATTTGAACGATTAATCATGTCCCAAGAAAAGAAAAACGAAAAAGAATGTGGAATCTGGATGAACAATTTAATTATTACTTTTCAAAAAGAAAATGTCCCATTTTATCAATATTCCGAATTTGAGAATGTGAAATTGATTACTAAAAATGTTTATGAAGCCACTTTTAAAACTTCTCAAAAAAATTGTTGCTCTTAAAAATTTACATCGGATAATTATTTAACATATGAAGTATAAATTAAATGATTTATTTACTCCATTATTAGAATATAAATTTATAGTTAATTATTTTACTATTATTAGAATTTAACGAAAAAGATTACAAGACATCGAAAATTGGAAAACCATTATAGTATTCTTGAATTCTATGGCATCATTAAACAAAGTAAAAATAATTAAATATTATTCTTAACATTATATTTAATATTTTTAATTACTCATTTATTTATTTATTAATTTAAAATTATTTTTATGTTTATAGAGAATACCGATAATTATATGATTATCCTTGAATATGTTAATGAAGGTTCTCTTCGTCAATATTTGAAAACTAATTTCCAAAAATTAGATTAGAGCATAAAATAAAATTTGACAAAACAAATTGAAAATGCTTTAATGAATTTACATGATAAGAATATTTTACATGGAAAATTGGTAATTATTTATTAAACTTTTAAATTAATTTCTAATTTTATTTATTTTATGATTTAAATTATAATTTTGATAATAATTTACTCCGTTTGACTTTCGAATTAGACTTCTGAAAATATTCTTGTTCATAATGGACTATTAAACTAAATGATTTTGGAATAAATTATATAAAATCCCTTACTACTATTGTTAATATTCCAATTCAATATACTGACTTTAAATATTTAGAATTATTTAATAAAAGTTTAGATATTTACAGTTTAGTAATTATTCTTCGGGAAATTTCTATTGATGGTATTTCTCCTTTCAAAAAGAATTTATAACAAAATCATCATTAGTATTGTCAAAATCAACAAACAATAATATTATTGATTTGATGAATGATTTTATTGTAAAACGAAAAAGAGAAAAGAGTATGTCTGGAATTGATCCTAAATACAAGGAAATTTATACCGGTAATTTATAAATTATTTAGAAATTATTTAAATTATTTATATTTATTAATAATATTATTAACAATTTTAATATAAATTGGATAGATTGTTTGAAACATCATGGAAAATCCCGACTAAACATCTTTGAAATTGTTATTGATCTTTCTGAGATCAATATTAATGAAAGAAATAAATTAGAAAAGTCAAACGAAGAAGAAATTCCTAAAACTAATAATTATAATATCAAATTTATTAAAAAATTATTTGAATTTTTTATTAATATTATTAAAACTCAATCCATGGAAGTGCGGCCAATTATGATCAAAAATTACATTAGAGAACATAATATGAATCCATCTCATTATTGCCGCATAGGATTTTTTTACCAGCATGGCATTGGGACTTTTACTGATAATAAAATGGCTTTTAAATTATTTAATTTAGCAGACAATGAAATAATTGATACCTCCTCCTCGAATTTCTCACCTTTAAGGAAATTATACAAAATCAACAAAAAAATTGGAATCTTCTCTATTGCATATATGTATTTAAATGGTCTAGGTATTGAAAAGGATACAAAAAAAACTTTTCATATTTATTATAAGCTTGCAGATGAAGGGTTTGATGTAGCTTTAAATTCGGTAGCATATTGTTATGATAATGGTTTTGGTGTTGAAAAAAAAGAAAACAAAAAGCATTTGAATTATATTTGAAATCTGCTGAAAAAGGTCTTCTTTTAGCACAATTTAATGTTGGTTGGTTGGTGTTATGAATTCGGAATAGGGATAACAAAAAATGAAGCTAAAGGGTTTCAATGAGTTATAAAATCTACTCTCGCTGGAAATATTGATGCAATGTGTATTTGTCAGATTTTGTTATAACAATGGTATAGGAGTAGATAAAGATCAAAAAGAAGCATTTAAATGGTATCTGATGGCTTCTGAAAAAGCACTTTCCATGGCTCAGTATAATTTAGGATGTTGTTATAAAGATGGCGAGGAATTGATAGGGATTATAAGAAAGCATTTGAGTGGTTTAAAAAAACCGCAGAAAATAATCATGCTAATAGCCAATTCATGATTGGGAAATTCTTTTATGAAGGATATGGAACTAATAAGGATATTATAAATATTATCTACTGGTCGAATAAAGCAAAGGAAAATGAGAATATAACTGCCAATAGATTATTAGAAGGAATAATTGATAGAATAATCTTTTTTTAGGCTATTATAAAATTATAGCAATTTATTAATTTAATTAATCGAATTGATAAAATGTCAAGATAATTCATTTGTCTATTTTTTATGTGAAAAGAAGGTTTTAATTAGTGCATTTGAATTTAGCATAAAATTTAATTTAAATTTTCGTACTGATGTATTTATCATAGTATAGATTTTACCCTATTGTTATTCCTTTTTTGGTGAAGTCATGGCACAAAATACCTTCACCCAATTGGTGAGTATTGATAAGTTGTTAAGTTCAATCACTTGCCAACAATATTCTTTTTGGGAAGATTTTTGTGACCCGAAATGGAAAAAAAAAAGTCAAGAATTTATATAATGGTAATGACCATTTAGAAGAATAACCTCCACCCACCACCCAAAGAATAGTGGGTATTTATATTTTTTTTTTTTTTTTTTTAATTCCAACGGAGTCATGTTTTATTAA